CTTGGCCCAGGTGTGCCTCCCCCAGGGCCCGAGGCAGGGCCCAGCAGGGAGGTGGCTGTTCTAGTCCCTACTTAGGGAGATGGAGGCAAGGAAATCGTTAAACACGTTAGCTTTGCTGTCTGGTATGACGACCAAATTTCCCAACGCGTCCTGCAAGGGCCCCACATTACCCAGGACGTTCTTTTTACGCCCTATGTATTTAAAAAAGGACTTCTTATTGTCCTTAATCTGGGAAGCTAGTCCCAGTTCCATCTCTGCCTTGGCCCTCCTAACTACCCCCCTACATCCCTGAGCAACTGCAGAATAGTCCTCCCTGGTGATGACCCCTTCTTTCCATTGGGTGTAAGCCTCCTTTTTAGCAAGGAGACATTCCCAGATGCTTCTGGTGAGCCATGGAGGCTTGTGTGCTCTCCTGCTCCCTTTGATCCTCATTGGGATTACCTTCCTTTGGGCTTGGAGGATTGTCTCCTTAAGGAGCGACCACTCTCCTTGGACACCTGGCTCCCTTCCCCTCCAGGACCTCAGCGCTTCTCCTACTATCCTCTTTAGTTTGCTGAAGTTTGCCCTCCTAAAATCTAGGGCCGCTGCCTTACTGCATGCCTTTGCCACCTTGCGCTGGATGGTGAATTCCAGCAGGCGATGATCGCTGTCGCCCAGGTGGTCGAGCACCCGCAGCCCCCTCACCAGGTCATCACCCGTGGCCAGCACTAGGTCCAGCAAGGATTAGGTGGGTCTATAGCAGGCACCCACCATGGCATCACCCTTTTTGCTCTCCTCTCTGACCCTAACCCAGAGACTTGCAACAAGCCTATCTCCAGTTTCATACTGGATCTCTGAGGAATCATATAGTTCTTTTTATGTAAAGAGCAACAACTCCTTCCTGAACAGCTTGTACCCATCCACAACTGTGCAAGGACTTTGAATTCTTCCTACTTGTTTTCTAGGCTGTTTCATGTACAGACATTTAAGGTAACTAACCAACTGTCCTACTTTCCTAGGAAACCTACGAGAGCCTCCCCTAGTATGAGACCTGAATTTAGCCGTGGGGAAAATGCAAGTGGCTTCACCTCTCTGAGCCTGCTCGAGGTCACCCAGCAGGTGGGCAACAGAGCTAGAAACTAGAGCCAGGTCCTGAGTCTGCGTCTGGCGCTCCCAGCAACACGGGCCATGGGAAATACGTGCTGTTTCCAAAGACCCCCAAGTGCATGAGCTGGATGTTCTGGCTGCCTTTGCAACGGAGGTGACCTGTACCTGTGGGTGGTGAACGAGGCACTGAGAGAGCAGGGTGATGTGGTGAAAGAGAAGCAGTGAGGAGTTTGGAGAGCTGCCACAGGCTACAGAGGCTGCAAAAAGGCCCCTGACTCCTTTGTTAGCACTTTGCTCCCTGCACCCAAAGCACAGGGTGGGGAATGGAGAAACCTGCCAGGGAGGCATTGCAAAGCAGCCACCGTTTCAAAAAAACCCCAAAACCCCATTGTCCAAAAAACCACTGCAAAAAAGCAGCACAGTACACATGGCAGCAGAAATGGAGCCTGGCTGCCCAGAGTCATATGCTGGCTGCTAGCCAAGCTGCCTGCGGCCAGATCAGTGCCAGATCAGTGCCACTGCCCTGGCAAGCCCCCAGGACTCCAGGTAATGCTGCTCAGGCTAGCACAGGTGCAGGTGGTGGTAGTCAGCAAACTGGATGAGTCTCAATAATCTTTCTGTGACATCTCAGATCCAGGCTCCAGGCAAGCAGCAGACCTCCTGACAACAGGTCAGTGGTAAAAAATAAAATGGCAAAAGAGAAATTGCAGTGTGAATAGTGTTCTTGTGTTTGTCACTTCAAATGAGCAAGCTGATGTTAAGAGTTGATGGTGTAAATCCTTGTAACAACAATTCTTTTTCATCAGAGAGGTTATGACAAACTTTTAGGCAACTTGGGGAACATTAACACTTTTTAACCAGTTTAATTTGGTAATAATTGTTTTCTCTCATCTTTTGGGTGCAAAATTTTAACTGATAGAATTGTTGAACTTCCTTCCCTTTCTTAAGATACCATTTCTGTTTATTGTTACAGTGGATACAATTATAATGAATGTGATATGACAGCAAAGTAAAAAGGTTGGGGTTGGAAGGGACCTCAGGAAGTCATCTAGTCAAAGCAGGACCATCCCAGCCAAAGCTTGGTCTAGCCAGGTCTTAAAATCCCCCAAGGATGGAGCTTCCACCACCTCTCTGGGTAACCTGTTCCAATGCTTCACCACCCTCCTACTGAGAAAAGTCTTCCTAAAGTCTAACCTAAACTTCCTTTGCTACAGCTTGAGCCCATTGCTCCTTATTCTGTCATCTCTCACCCCTGAGAACAGTCCCTCTCAGCTCCCATCCTGCTTTAAACCCCTCTTCGGGTAGTTGAAGGCTGATATTAAATCCCCTGACAACAGGTCAGGCTGGCCTCTGTCCACTGCAGAAGGGAGTTACCAACCACCCCCAACTCTTGGCAGCAGTGTTCTCAGTCCTCCAAACCTTGGGGAGACCTGGCCTCACCTCATCCAGTGAGAGAATGTGCTCCTTCTCCTGTGTTGGTAGGGCTCCATATCTGTTCTCCTCCAAGCCAACTGCTGCAGGTGGAGGTGAAGATTTCCACTTGCTGCCAGAGGTCACAAGCTTCCAGCTTCCACCTCCCTGTGTGTCTTTGTCCTCTTCCTTCTCCAGCGCTACCTCTGGCAGTCCTTCTGCTGCAGTCCTAGAGGCTTTCTCTAGTATCAGATTGACAAAGCATCCTCAGCCAGGAGGCCTTCAGAGCTTCACCACCTTTTCCTGTAACTCTCTTACCTGCTTCCGGAGGGACACTGCTGGGAGGCACCACTCACTTTGCAGGTACCCCCTGCCTGTTACTGGAAGGAAACTGCAAGCTGCAGTCCTTGCAGCACCAAACCAGGACCTGGGAGGAAGCCTCAGCTGTGAGCAGTTCTGCCTAGAGAGGCATCTCACAGGTGCAAGCAGAGGAAGAGCTGGTAGTGACAGTGGCTTTGGGGTTGCAACATCCTCCAGCCATCTCTCTGGGTCTCCTAAATTCACCACCTACATCTTCCTGCCCCTCTCTCCAAACAGCACACTCCCCTGTAAGCTGGCCTGTTTGCTGCTCCTTGGCCCTGAAAGGTTTCCTTTTTGCTGCTAATCTGCCTCCTCTCACCAAGCCTGCAGCGCCAGAGCCGGGGAGAGAGTCTCAAAGCAAACTCCCTAGTGAACTTCCCACTCACTCTGCTCTCTAAACAGACCAGTGCCCTCGAGTCAGCATAACTAGGGATAGTGAGAGGGGCAGTAGCCCCTGGGTGCCTGCATGGTGTGGGGAGAATAGCACCTCCCTAAGAGTCTTTGCCACAGCAGCCACCGGGAAGCCAGCAGGCCCAGCCCTGTGCAAAGGAGTGGCTGGGGGCGTGAGCAGAAAGGAGCTTCTTCTAGCCTCCCTGCCCAACAAGTCTTTGCCCGGGGAGGCCCAGCACGCCAAGCCCATGCTGCTACAGGAGCAGCAGCAGCTGCCACCAGTGCACAGAGAGCTGGTGCAGACCAGACTGCTCCCTGCCGCTGGTGGCTGGTATCATCCCCCTCCACTGCAGCAGGGCTCTGATGGAGCTTGCTCCACCTCTACCTCCAGTTGAAGCACAGCTCTGGGAGGGCCCCCCTCAGCCAGAGCCTTGCTCCCACATCCCAGCTATGTCTCCTGCCCAGCCTGCTAGTTCCTTAGTGGTGGGGGTCCTGGGAGAGAGCCTTGCTCAGTGGGGTGAGGTACAGCCCCTGGCCTTCCCCTGGGCCCACTAGTCTGAACTGGGCTCCTCCAGGGTTGCCAACCCTGCATACATTTATGGATGATAGGTTAAGAAGTTGTAAAAAGTAGTTAAAAACATTTCCCTTTAAAGTTAGTAAAAATGGTTCCATGTCCATCAAAATTACAGAGAGCTGCCCTCCGGGCAACCCTGCTCCACCCTGGCCTTTCCTTAGGCTCACCTGTAGCCTTTCAGCTGGGCTTCCCCCAGACCCACTCTGTCCAGGCAGGTTCCTCCCCCAGGTCTACTCAGTCTTCTGCCCTTGTCTCTCTGGGGCCACCCAGGTCCAGCCCCCTCCCCTGGGAGCTTCTTTCCCTTTCACTGTTGGATCCCCTCTTACATCCCTGCCAGGGCAGGGCCTCCCTGCTATGGCTGTTGCTGGTGGCAGGGAGCTGGGATGCTGCTGCTCACAGGACGAAGTAACCAAGTAGATGCTGTAAGTCTTCCCCCTTTTCGGTAAAGTCAGCAAATGTCATTTTTAAGCCCAGGGTGGGCAATAGTGCTCCCCTCAGCCTTTCCTTAAGCTTACTTGCAGGTGTCCAGCTGGATTTCCTCCAGCCCCTGGCCTTTCTCCAGGCCCACTGTCCCAGGTGGCTTCCTCCCAGCTCTGGTGCTTGCCCCCAGGCATACTCTGTCTTCTGCCAGTGTCCCTGGGCTGTTTGGCTCCAGCCCGCTTCCCCGAGAGCTTCTCTCCTTTTCACTGCTGCATCCCTCCGGCCCCTCCCTGGCACCTCAGTCTTGCATCCCCGCTAGTGCAGGGCCTCCCTGCTCCTGCTGTCGCTGGGATGCTGCTGTGCACAGGAGGAAATCAGTGGTGCACAAGTAACCAAGTAGACACTATTAAGTTTCCTCCTTGTCGGTCCACGTTGGAGGACACCCCACCATCAAGGAAATATACTTTATTAGGAACTATAAACGCTAGAAATCTGAACGGGAAAGAGTGGCACAGGGACACTGCAGCACTCCCCAATAACTTCCTCCATTTTTCTTGCTGGGGTCGCAGCACAGTGCGGGCAAGTCCGCGCGGGACCAAGCCTGCTTCCCAAGGCCAGGCTGATGTGGGGAAGACGCAGTGAGACGATTCAAGTATTTTATTGGCCCTGGGACCCTCCAAGCCTAGAGCCCCGGTGGTTCTTGCGCGGTGTCCGTTACACATGAGGTAGCCCTGAGGTGAGACAATCCCAGAGAGAAAACCCGCGGGCCTGAGGCACCGAAGAGCAAAAAAATCCCCCTGAAGACAGCCGCCGGTGGCTTTCCCTCCACCCCTGCACCGCCCCGCGCCCGCCCCCTCCCGCAGCCCGCGGGCAGCGCCCGCCCCCTCTGGCCGCGCGCATAGAAGGCGGCGCCGTCCTTATCCCGGCGCAAACCGGCAGCGGCGGGCGGTAAGTGCAGGTCTGAGGGAGGCGCTCCGGGGCGGGGGGCGGGGGGTGTTGTCCCCCCCGGCGCTGCTGGACTGGGCCTTGTGCTCGGACGCGGGGTGCCGCGCTCCGTGGCCTGCCCGTGTCTGTGGGACTTCCCTCCCCCGCCTGCGAGGGCGGCCCTCCCCCCAGCCCCACGGCTTCTGCGAAAGGCAGCGGCGAGCAGAGCCCAGGCGCAGGAGGGGGCTCAGTGTCGGGGACCTGCCTCCGCCTCGCCCCCTCCCCACTTTTGGGGATTGAGCATTGCTGGCCAACTTGCCTGGCTGCAGTGCAGAGGCCCCACTAAAAGCACCCTGTCTGGGGCAAATGTGCAGATCGTCATTAAAAAAAACCAACTTCTCGAGTTGGCAGCCTTGCCAGAGAGGGTCTACCCACAACAACTCCTGCAGAGCCGAAGCCGAGGGCCCTCGCATAGACGAGCCCTACTTCGCGCTGCTGCTCCCAGCCAAAGGCATTGGTGCACCAAGCCCTGGTTCAACACTGGTGGTTGTGCTCCCTCCTCCTTGTCACGTCCCTGCGCACGGCCGGTTTTCAGGGCAGGAGTTGTCACATGGTTGGGTTGCAGAGCACCAGCACCTCCCGCCTGGGACTGTGTGGTGCTATTGGAGCTGGCGCTACCAGCCTGCTCAGATGAAGGTCTGAGCACCGAGGCAAAACCTCAGCCCTGTGAGTGACGGGCTTTGTGGCACTCACAGAGCTTTTCCTTCTCTAACAGGTTGGGTCTGGTAGGTTGGACGTGAAGTAATTGGTTGGAATGAAAGTGACCCCGAAGTGGAAATGTCCGTGAGAACTGTGCTGGCTGTGACTGTCATCTCCTGCCTCCCTGCCCTGAGTGGTGAGCAGAGCTGTTCCTCTTTTTTGCAAAGCTCAAGTCCAAAGCAAAGAGTGTAGGTTGTAGCCGTGTTGGTCTATAAGCAAAAGCTTATTCTTGGAATCCGCACAGAAAATTAAAAAGGGGTGGGGGGGAACCCCTGCTTGCCCCCAGTCTCCCTGCCAGTGATTCTCTACCTCTTCAGATTCAAGGCGCCCTCCATCGCTTTTCTGAATTTCAGTTCCCCGATTTGAAAACTGCTGGCTCAGTGTGTCTTGTCACTGCATCCCTGCAATGCTCTGAGACGCACAAGTGATGGAGACAAGCACGTTTTTAACATGGTACAATAGTTGCATAAAACCAATGATGCTAAAAGCTGTGAATATAACGGAGAACAATACCCTTGATATCCGTTGTAGAATTTTTAACATCACTTGAGACATCCTAGATTTGACTTGCAGGGGGGTTAGGTAGTGTTAAGGAGACGGTAGCCAAGATGTTTCAGGAGTTATGCAAGAAGGAAGAATTACTCGGGGTGATCTGTCCTATTGGACCAACTGCAGAGTTGGGATGGAGCTAGACAAGCTTTCAAATGCAAGACGGTCCTTTTCATGTCTTGCATTACAAAGCTTGTCAAATGTGACCAATTGCATAGTTAGGAGAGAGTCGGAGAGATCCCCTTAAGTATCCTTGCCTCTCACAAAAGGCTTTCTCACCTGCTTGAGAGGTGGCACAAAAGCTGGCAGTGTCTATTTATTCAAAGCAATCATTTGGCCGTGGCTATTTGATCACTGTTTTACCTTAACTTTCTCAGAGTAAAGACCACAGCGGTAGCGTGGTAGTAAGATTTTAAGTGACACTGTGGTACAAGTACTTGTGTCCAACATCCTGTTTTCAATTAACTGCATACGGTTTCGCAGTTGGATCTGGTTGGGAAGCTTTCCTGGTCCAACCCCACAATCATGTCCTGGAAACACAGGTGGGCAGGACAGTTTTTACTGAGCACCTTGCAGTCATACTTAGTGGTCTGTGTAACACGGGGTTGCCATCTTGGCTATGGCAGCATTTACCCTAGAATTGTTAGGTACCTATTCCATGCCCCTAGTTTGTGGTTGACGTGGGGATCCCTGAAACTGGAGAAACCCCTGGTCTAGGGAAAATTGTGACACTGATAACATCCAAAGTGTAGGTGAGTGCACAGCATGCGCAGAAGGCTTTCTAAACTTCCCAATTTTAGTGTAATCCCAGCATGGGACAGAGACATGTGAAGACCAAAGTAAGTTTTGACCCTGCCCCTTTTTCAAGCAGAAGACAGACTATTAAATCACCAGTGCAGTAAGGACCAGTTACTTCAAAGCAAATGAAACAAACATATCTGACCAAAACCCACTGGAGTGTCACTCTGTGCAGCTGTTTACCAAAAGGCGGTTGTCAAAGTGTTCCTCCCAAAGTGAATCCATGGTAAGATCTTGGTCAGTCACAGCCCTTATGTAAAGAGGAAAAGGTGGTGCATTAGGAGAAGCAAACCCAGGTTGAAATGACACCGGTGACTTTCTCTCTTCCAGGATCCACCGTGATCCAGGCAGGTGCTGGCACAGATGTGCTCCTGCCCTGCAGTGTGCAACACCAAGACGGCTTCAATCTTTCCGACGTCACTATCAACTGGGAGCGTCCTGACACCATCGTGTATAGCTTCTACTATGGCAGTGGACGGCTAGAGCATCAAGACAAGGCGTTTAGGGGCAGGACCCAGCTCTTCCCAAAGGAATTTTCAAAGGGCAATGCCTCCCTCCTACTGCAGAGAGTCAACCCAGCTGACACCGGGAATTACTCCTGCAATGCTGTTCTTTGGGCCAACACCCAGCACACTGTTCACACAGTGTCACTCCGGGTGACAGGTAGGACAGTCATCCTCCCCTTTAATCCATGCTGTCATTGGGGTACAGAATGCAGCAACCCTTGGCCTTGGGACTTCTCTGCTCGGAGAAGCAGCAGGCAAACTGCATCCCAGGTTTCCCTGCTCCTCGCCTCAGTCTCCACATGAAGCAGACCTCTGCAGGCGTTGTGCTGTTCCTCTTTGGAGTGTACTCCCCACCCCACCGCCCAAGAGGCTGAAGCAGAGACTTCTGCAGGGGCCTCTCTGCAGTTTCCTGAGCTGCTCTTGGGGAGACACCTCCTTCAGCTGGGGCTTTCTTCCTTCAAAGCCAGCCAGAGCACCCAGCTCATGCACTTGGGGGTCTTTGGTAACAGCACAGTATTTCCCATGTGCCACGTTGGCTGTTGGCGGGAGCGCCAGACACAGACTCAGGACTGGCTCTAGTTCCTAGCTCTGTCATTTCCCTGCTGAGTGACCTTGAGCAGGCTCAGAGGTGAAGCCACCTGCATTTTCCCCACAACAAAACTGAGGCCTTTGAAATGGGCTCATCGGTCTCCCCAGAACAGGTAAAATAGCCCCTGTGGAAGGAAACACCAGACTACTTCTGTCCCCACTGGAATCCCATGCAGCCATTAGGTGCCGGCTGGGGGTGTCTGAGAGCAGGCCTGAACTGGGGAGATCTGGAAATGCCTCGACCTGCCACAAAAGTGCCCTGGGTCCTGGGCATGTGGCTGGGTCAGTGGAAGAGGCTGGAGTGTCTGAGAAGGATCCACTTCTGGGCTTAAGAGGAACCTCCCCCTGAATGTGTCCTCACACCTGACCCCCTCCCATGACAGGCCCCAGTTCTGGGGGTTCAATGTCTTTTATGGCATTTTCTCTCCAGCCCACCTCTGTCCCAGCCTTTTTGACCCTTGTATAACAGAATGTGCCACAATCTGTGCAGAAACTAATAAGTAGCTGGAGGTGGTGCTGGAGCTGCTCCTGCTTGGGTGAGGGAGGCAGAGAAGAGGCTGTCTCTCTTCACTTGGCTTGCTGTTTCGCAGGGAACGGGCTTGCTGTCACACCGCTGGAAGCTGTGCGCTGTCTCGCCATCCTGCTGCTGCTGTGGTACATGTGAGTCTCCCTGCATAGGTGAGTTGAGTGGGACACAAGCGATGCAGGAGCTGGCAGAGCCTAATGGGCATTCAGAGGCATTTGCTCATGCTCATCTGGCATGTGATTAACTGAGGTGACGCTCTCAGGCAGGGAATGGGTGTCTCATCATCAGAAGTCAATTAGTGCCCTGGTCCAGTGCACAGACTCCTCCCAAACCCCTCTTCTAGGGAAAATTTCAGGGGAGTACATAGGCAATGGAGACTTCATGGTCTTTCTATTTTTCCCCCCCCCTCAGTTTTCCACCCTTTTGTGGGTGCTACCATTATAGATGAGGCTCCCCTTCTCTGAGCAGCTGCAGGTGCACAAGAGAAAGTAGAGGAGCCACAATGGGAGGCTGGTGGTTATTGTGGGCCACTGTAGTGTTGCCAAAGCTTCCCCCCAGGTGCAGGACATGGCTGAATGGGTTGCTGGCTCTGAGTGGTGACTCTGGGGTAATGGGCACTAGACTTTAATGTGGTCAGGCCCAGTGGCAGGAGTAAAGCCCCTGGAAGCTGTGACCACAACTCCTTGGCTGTGGGTCAGGGAAGGAAAAACAGGCTGGCTGGTCTGGCAGCCCCTTGCCTCCAGTAACGCAGCTCTGCTTATTTTCAGCCCAGATGCAAACGCTGAGTGAAGGAGCCCTGAGCACTGAGAAACCCAGAGTACCTGTGGCTTCAGCTTCCAATGAATCTCCGCTGCACATGATCTACCTGTTACTGTGAGCAACCTGGTCTGGATTTGAATCAGTTACTTAAAGGTGAAAAGCTATAATAGCTGATTACTACCCCCCTGAGCCAGATACTCTTCAAAGGAAAATTAGTTTTAACATAATACTGCTAACCCCATGGTCCTGGTCCAGTATGAAAGACAAAGTGAAGATGTATACTCAGGCTGAGAGAAAACCAGACAAGTAGAAACATAACTAATATTCAGATT